GTCCACTACCACCCCCGGTATGGGTATGGGGTCCACTACCACCCCCGGGATGGGTATAGGGTCCACTACCACCCCCGGGATGGGTATAGGGTCCACTACCACCCCCGGGATGGGTATAGGGTCCACTACCACCCCCGGGATGGGTATAGGGTCCACTACCACCCCCGGGATGGGTATGGGGTCCACTACCACCCCCGGGATGGGTATGGGGTCTACTACCACCCCCGGTATGGGTATGGGGTCCACTACCACCCCCGGGATGGGAATGGGGTCCACTACCACCCCCGGGATGGGTATAGGGTCCACTACCACCCCCGGGATGGGAATGGGACCCATAACCACCCCCGGGATGGGAATGGGACCCATAACCACCCATGGGATACCATAATAAATTAACAAAATCAAATCATCAAAACCATTTGGTCATAACCATTTTTCTATCTCTCATTATTAATAATTAACTTCATGCATCGCTAACTGTGAACACACACTTCACAGCGTGTGTGCGTACTCACCTAGTTGTGCTTGAGGGGGGATTGAGCTTCGGCTCTTTGGTCCCACCTCTCAACCGTCAATCTACTTTTGTACAGATTCCTGAGCCTACTGGGCTCTATCATATCAACATTTGAAACTGTGTATGGAGTCAGCCTCCACCACATCACTTCCTAGTGCATTCCATTTACTAACTACTCTGACACTGAAAAAGTTTTTGTTAATGTCTCTGTGGCTCATTTGGGTACTCAGGTTCCACCTGTGTCCCCTTGTGCATGTACCACCCGTGTTAAATAATCTATCTTTGTCTACTCTGTCAATTCCCCTGAGTATTTTGTATGTGGTGATCATGTCTCCCCCGAGCTCTTCTGTCTTCCAGCGACATGACGTGCCGTTCTCGCAGCCTTCCCTCATAACTCATGCCTCTGGGATCTCTAGTTCTGGGATTAGCCTAGTGGCATACTTCTGAACTTTTTCCAGCTTCGTCTTGTGCTTGACAAAGTACGGGCTCCATGCTGGGGCCGCATACTCCAGGATTGGTCTTACATATGTGGCACACAAGGTTCTGAAGGATTCCTTACACAGGTTTTGAAGGCGGTTCTGATGTTAGCCAGCCTCGCATACGCCGCAGATGTGTGAGTGTGCGTGCGTGTGTGTGTGCGTGTCCTGCTCGCATGAACACACTCAAAATACTCATAAATAAAGGACAGGGACCAACATAAATCAAAATCATGCCAGTTAAAAAGCCTCAGAGACTTCCATGACCGCACAAGCTGTGCTTGCCTAGTTGTGCTTGCAGGGGTTGAGCTTCGGCTCTTTGGTCCCGCCTCTCAACTGTCGGGCGTGAGAGGAGACGAATAGAACAACTTGTCTTCTCGAATAATACATAGCATTTTGACGTGAAAATCGCAAAGGGACAAAATATAATACACTGTGAATCATGGCGGCTGACTAACATTCACGTTTTCTGTGCGCGCGTATGTAGCCGGGTTGGGTTAGGTTCGGGTATTTTAGTAGACCATATGATGCCCGTAGTGTCACCACGAGAGGACGGGCTGGATAGATACCAGTCCAACTTGTGGTAACACTGCCCTGTCATGGTGCTCTAGCCTGCTCTTGTGGTGCTGGCAACACTGCCGGGGAACCAAAATATTTTCACCTGCCAATGGAATAGATTACAAAAAAATGTAGAACAAAAAAATATAAAAAACACAGGTGTTAATATTGGCCCGGGCTAGAGGAGTGTTGAGAGAGAGGAACTTGGCGGGCGAGGTGGAGGGCTCGTCCTCTGTGCTCTGGTCATCTGAGCATCCTTGGCTTCTAACGCAAATCCTAATTAAAGATTAACAAAGTGGAATGTTTGGGCGAGGCTGCTGGCGGGGGCGGTTCACAGCCAGTATTTGTGCTGAGGTTAATAACACTGGCGATGAATTAACCAAGTGACAAACGGAGACTTCTCTGGCGGGAAACTTGAAGCGAAATAATAATAATAATAAACTAAAACCATTTTAAATGTAAATAAAGTGTCAACATATAAATTAGAATTTTACTTTACAATTTCCATCGCATCTGTCACATTACCCAACACACTACTTACTTTAGTACTCAATGATAAGTCTCTTATTCAATTCTTTGGCTTGTCGAGGTCCTCCTAAATTAAAATCTGGCCTTTTTTTTTTTACACGAATTAGATTCCGAATATAAACCTGAGAATATCCGCGACGTCCACAGGAGAGCAATATGTCCCCCAAGACACGAATGAGGAGCAGCGTGGGCCTTGAGAACGCCTGCACCACATACACGGATGGTATTGAGCGTTATTTAGATTTATATATACAAGAAGGTACATTGGGTTTATGAGAGTACATAGCACTGATGTTTTCACAGTCTTGTTAAGTCACTAACACGCATAGCGTTTCGGGCAGGTTCTTAATCTAACAGGTAATTTTAAGTAGGTAATTTCTAGCAAAATTGAAAAAAGTGAACAACTCAACTCATTAGTGGTGCTCAACTCATCATTGTGGGGTTCAATCCCTGAGCCCATTATGTGCCTCTGTAACCCTTTCCACTACTGCCCACAAGATGGGTATGGGGTGCATAATAAATGAACTAAACTAAAAAAACTAACATATAATCCAACTCACCGTGGAGACAAATCTAAGTTCGATAATTACGACACGAAAATGAGATCCAAAATGGCGTCTAACTTTCAGTAAAGATAGATTAAAATGCAGGAATCCTCATATTATTATTATGTCCATATTATTTCCAGCAAATACTCTTAAACGCTTTTCATTCTACTCTATAGTAATAAGCTCAAGTAACCATGCTAACTACTACAATGTGCACCTAATACATCTTATACCTCAGTTTTCTAGCCGCTTTTCAATCTGTAGACTCTGAAGAGTCTCTTAAACACGAGAATTTGTCGTCCTCCGAATAAAAAGTAGGAATCAACATTAAAAAAAACATAGTTTCCCTTCAACCAATTACGATCTCGTTTTCTTTTAACATCTTTTCGTCTCCATTTTCTTTTAATTTTGTTTCCGCTATGACAAACTTATCTATTACTCCAAATTTCATATAAAATTTTTGGAGCGTTATGCACAAGACCAACATTCCATGTATAACAAACTATCCTATGGAATGAGGGGTATTAAATGAAGTTATAGGTAGCTGGATACATATATCCACATATCAGCCTATTTTCTTGTTTACGTTTTTGTGTGTGTGGGGATTTACTCAGGTAGGTCGGGCAAGTCCTTAATCCTAATTTTCCCCGGAATACGACCCGCCAAATCGTTTAACAACCCGTGCTAGAATCTGTGATCAAACTCTTTTGGTCATATTCCATATTATTTTTACACTCAAAGCACACCCACACATTGTGCAGCAACATCAAAAACATGGCAGGGATATGATGCCTTGTCACTTGAAGCTGGGGATTGAGCCCCTACCTCTCAAGTTCAAGTACGTTTATCGAGACAATAAAATACATCTCAAAAGGATAGAGTGGCTTAGGTAGGCTATTTCTACCCTCCAACGTCTCACCAAGAATCACTTATAGTATGTGTTATAATTTAGAAACTGCACTTGTGGTCAATCTCGAGCCCATTGATGATGTGACGTTGTGTATTGAATTTTGTAACTAACTCATCAAGCTTGTAACATTTCTTAGCTAAATGAATTGTGAGGTTTATTTCCTGAGCCCCATTATGTGCCTCTGTAATACTTTCCACCAACGCCCACATGATGGGTATGGGGAGAATAATAAATGAACTAATCTAACTCAACATACATCTGTCACGTACATGTTACTTCTACCTATATATATAAAACCACATCTACCATGTTAGCTGTGTCAACAAAGTTATTCGCACACCCTCCGTCACTATGTGATGGAGTGCGAAAAGATACGTGAATTTAGAGACAATTCTATAACCAATGTTCCAGCGATGTGTCAATATTTCATTCAAAATGATCTGCTACCAGAAATTTTAGCCAAATATCCCCAGTTTGCTAACTGTAGGTAGTAACTAAGTGATTGTAACCTATCCACCGCTGCCCACTGGATGGGGGGCGGTGTGCAGGACAAACATATAAATTTTGACACTAGCTCTCCACATATGTCAGTTGCTTAATTTAGAACCTGTACTTGAGGTCGATCTCGAACCCATTGTTGATGTGATGACTTATATTGAATTTTGTAACTAGCTCATCAAGATTGTAACTTGCTTAGCTAAATGAATTGCGGGGTTCAGTCCCTGAGCCCATTATGTGCCTCTGTAACCCTTTCCACTACCGCCCACAAGATGGGTATGGGGTGCATAATAAATGAACTAAACTAAACTACCATGTTAGCACATCTGTAACATGTATGGTGCAGTGACGTTTTTTTTAATTTGTACCTACTTAATACACTTAAGAAAGATTTTATGTCATTCATCATAAACCTGCCATATAGATGTAGGACAATTAGAAAAGGACAATTCATGTAAATATTGGAGCTAACAAATACGGTTGAACTAGATTGATTCAGGCATCCGAGAGTACAGTGAGAGTGTACCTTGCTGATATCAGTAGAAGCTGGCTAAAATGTTAAGTCTTAATTGTAGTTCTTAGCACATACATGCACTCATGCATGACTGCACTAACGAGTGAACAAACGAACATCATATCAGTTGTACACCCAAGAATTCACTTTGTAGGAAAAGGGGTACAAATAAACTGAAGCTATTACTGTACATATGTAAACAAAACTGTACTAACAGTATTCAATTTTGTTTGGTAATTTAATGAGACATAACAATAGTTGCCGATATTTTAGAAATCATCATACATTCACAATTCACAAGTTCTATGCTTTTATCTTGGAGGGCAAACCACCTGCCCATTCCTCCCCTTGCATACACCATTCTACTGTATCCAGTACTGTATTTGCATTTTCCATCTGCTCTATGAACTACATACTGACATCAACATTCAGATACTATATATCTTGTATTTACCTTTACAGGAGTCATGAGGGTGATCTAGAACTTCCTTCTTGATTTTCACATGACCTAGCAGGCCCGGGAGTGTAGGCGTTGAAGACGGAGTTGACACGGGACTTGCCATTGACCGATCATATGATGATGATAATAGTCCTGTTGAGAGATCGAATGGTTTTTTAAGTCCTGGGAAAATGTGTGAAACTAAAATTAAAGACAGGAAACACTGCACGCTGAGTATCTTGACTGTAAACTTGTGTGGTGCACCTCAGGAATATTTAAATATTTCAAGTGTGACTAGGTTATGTTAGGTTTTGCTAGTCTAAATGTTATGTTAGGTTTAGGTAGTTTTAATTATTTGATTGTCTAGATATAGTCAGATTTGTTAGAGTTCAAAAATTTTTGAAAAGATTAGACAGTAGTGGATCAGATTAAGTAGATAGGATGGGTGTGGGTTATCAGTACTGTGGCATGCTTGTGAGTGTTTGTGACTTATGTGGAACACCTCCGAGATGTTCCATGCAGTTTGTGTCTCCAGTGAGGAGTGTTTATGAAGATCACAACGTGAATGAATAGTGATTCTCATTTACCTTTCAGTACTAGCATAAGGAACTAAGATATATTAAATACTGAGAACTCTACGTATGGACGATCTCTCAGCTTAAAAAGTTAGTTAATTTTTTTTAATTAATGAAACAAGTTGTTTTGAAAGTACAATACATTAGCTTTCCTGTTGTATGTGTACATGAGCCAAGACCAACAATTATGTCAATTATTGTGTTTGAAGTCAGTGGATCATGCATGCTGAAGCTTTGGCTATGAGAGGTTAGTTCACTCTAGGATGTCACAGGTCAAGTGGAAATATACACTTACTGTAATAACTAGCTCATCAAGACTGTAACTTGCTTAGCTAAAGGAATTTGTGGAGGTTCCCATTATGTGCCTTTGTAACCCTTTCCACTACTGCCCACAGGATTGGTATGGGGTGCATAATAAACTAACTAAACTAACTGTATTATTAATGTCACTGGTCGAATTTCCACAAGAGCTACTTCAATTATGAATAGGAAATTAATTAGACCCTCAAAACTCACAGATTATAATAATACATACAAAATACCCAAAGTGCAGATGTGTATAATTCATAACTGTAAGACACAAGCAAAATTGGGAAAGTAACATCTCTTATATATACACTCTTATATGACAATGTCAGACCACGGAGGAAAAATGAAACAGGAAATTTCCTTAAGTACTTTCGTATATTAAATACATCTTCAGAAGGTCCAATATACGAAAGTACTTAAGGAAATAAGGGGTACAATTAATATACGAAAGTACTTAAGGAAATTTCCTGTTTCATTTTTCCTCCGTGGTCTGACATTGTCACATTCTTAATCACGTGTTTATTTTCGTGATATACACACACACTCTTATATATACTTATATATGTTGCATTGCATCCATATATCCTACAAGCTGTCATCCTCAAATATCTGGCATAACAGTTACCAAAATCATTCTGCAAGATTCTAACAACAGAAATAAAATATTTCCAAATACATCTGACAGATAAGTCAAAATATTTACTTAAGTATTTAGTGAATAGTAAGGAAGTTCACTGCCATATACATTCAACAACATGAACTACTCGTAAGATTACAACCTATTTCTAGTCTAATTAGGTAAGACATGTAAACCCAGGGCCTATGTAACCAGCTATAGTCAATGTTCAACCAGCTCACAAGTCATACTACACACTACACCATCATGGTATTATACCCTATTGCTTTATTGCATTAACTTGGGATCCCCTATTACACACTGCACCATCTTGGGATTCCCCTACTACACACTACAACATCTTGGGATTCCCCTATTACCCACTGCACCATCTTTGGATCCCCTATTGCACATTGCACCATCTTTGGATTCCCTATTATTCCACTGCACCATCTAGGAACACCTGATCACATACTGCACCATTTTAGGACCCTCTGTCATACACTGGAGGACCATCTTTGAACCATATATTGTTCTGAATAATCAAATATTCATAATAACGATTTCTGTAACTCATGGCAAAGCATATTATACAAAAAAAGCTTGTATAAAACAGAATTATAACAAAGCTTTGCTTTTCTAATTGTGCAATTGTCATTTATGACAAAGTTAACTAAAAAACTTTATGAACAATAAACTAGATAAATGAAAAATTTATTACAAAACAATAACAATTATTTTTGTATTTTAATTCTCAAGTGTTTGCCTTTATCATTTGAAAATTCGTACAGTATGTCTAGTGTGCCCTCATTGAACAAGCTAAAGACCATGTTATTTCTCATGTAACAAAACTAGTTATTAAGCTATATACATACTTAATTAGCTGCTATTACCAGAGGCAGACTGAAGAGGCATATACAGAATACATATACTGTACAATATATACTTATATCCTCCAGTTAAAAAGATTTGTACTTATTGCTACAGTTCTCCATCAACTTTGTAGACTGGATGAAAATACCTCTTGAAATTTCTACATTTGCTTCTGTATATACACCTAACAATTTTCTAATTGTCTTGGTTCAACTAGCGTATTAAGCTACTGTACTTCTATAATTCTGACACTGTCTAATAGCTATCTACAATTACCTACAGTGAGTAAACCACCATACACAATTTTTTCCCCATTTCATTTGTTAACTATTTTTTGTCATGCACACCACAGTGTAGTACAGTACAGTACTTTTGTCATGCACACCACAGTGTAGTACAGTACAGTACTTTTGTCATGCACACACCAGTGTAGTACAGTACAGTACTTTTGTGATATACACAGTGTAGTACAGTACAATACTTTTGTAATGTACACCACAATGTAGTACAGTACAGTACTTTTGTCATGCACACCACAGTGTAGTACAGTATACTGTAGTACTTTTATCATGTGCACCACAATGTAGTACAGTATAGTACTTTTGTCATGTGCACCACAATGTAGTACAGTACTTTTAAAAAGCTGAGGAATCCAAAGGGGTAATAATACTTTATCTATTGTATTTGTATCTCTGCCGATCTTACTCCATTTCAATTTAAGTGAAGTGGAACCGATTTTCAGGTCTCGTAAGAAACTACAGTACAGTATACTAATTTCATCATTCCTCAGTTCAGGCTGTGTAATAAAGTAAAGCAAGAGTATGAAGAAAATGTTCAAATCTTCTAAAGGAAATTACCCAGGAAATTCTGCACAGTGCATACTTTTTATCAGTTATTAGGTCAAGAGGAAGAAAGCAAGAGGAAATTCTGTTCAATATCTATGTTAAAATAAGCTAGCCACTTCAATATAAATCCTTTAAAGTTAACAAGTTAACAAGTAGATAGTGAAATCTTACAATTGTTTTAGAATTTTATCAAAATCTTTATTTCAGGGAGGTTAAATGATATAGAAGTTAGTAGTATACCATTTGTAGATTCGTAAATGCATAACTAATTTAACTGGAAATACTTTAGTAGGGAGTAGTTTATGAAAAAATAATGTATTTCTAGGAATGAAGCAGGCAAATGATGGCAACTGGGATGAGAAGCAAATTTCACATACACGACAAGGGCAATGTGAGGACTGTTGTCTGGTCTTGCACACATTTAACACAGCAACTGTGCTCACCAGAAGGTAGAATTTCAAAGGAAATCTAGAAATCAAAAAGCTGACACAGTGACACTAATAAATATGTGCAAGGTGTTCAATCTTAAGAGAAAAGTGAATGACAAAATAAAGTTTATGATTGCTTGCAGTCGGTCTTGAGCCCACTGTTGATGTGTCGATGTGCATTGATTTTTTTAACTAGCTCATCAAGAGCGTAACTTGCTTAGCTAAATGAATTGTGGGGTTCAGTCCCTGAGCCCATTATGTGCCTCTGTAACCCTTTCCACTACCGCCCACAGGATGGGTATGGGCTGCATAATAAATTAACTAAACTAAACTGCAAGATGATCAGTCTTATTGCAATAGTGCTTTAAACTGATCAACATGATATATTAAGATGTAGATTTTATCTTCAAGTGAAGTTCAGCACATCAGCTTCTCAAAGTTTACAGGTATTTCCGAAGTACTGTATGCTGTTATGTACAATGCTGGAACACTTTTTACAAATATGAAGAGACGTAGTCAGAATTGTATGAACAAGTAATATATTTAATGTAAAAGTAGAGCGTTGACAAATATTAATATATAGAAAACTTATAAATGCCATCAATTAGAGAATGTTTTTATATATCTTTCCCAAATGAAATATAAAACAAAAACTGCAAGTTAAATATAAAAAGTTAAGTATAGGCTCAGTACATATATTATTTAACACATAATTAAGGTGTATTCTTTGGTGGAGGGGATAAGATATATGCAGATAAGACAGATATTTGTCTTATATGCAGATAAGACAAATATATGCAGTAAGACATCTACAGTAATATTGAAAGCATGGCAAAGACTAGAAAGCATGATTGACCTTTGTAATTCTTTAAATAAAATCTGATAATGAAGAGAGTGGGACTACAGAGGCTATGGAACATGTATGGACTGTTAAGAATGTTATTAAATACAGTTAAGTGTTTTTATTAACAAAACAGCATGTGTGTGTGTGTGTGTGTGTGTGTGTGTGTGTGTGTGTGTGTGTGTGTGTGTATATGGGTTAAACATGAAGGCAATGACTGGTCTGATATATGTGCAGAAGTATTTTAATCCTGTGATGTCCCTATGGCTGTGGAGGGTGCATATGAATGGAATTTTATGAGAGGTATGAGCATTATACATGACAAGATTAAATTAAGTACAGTATTTGACATGAAGTATTTAGTTTGCATAGTCTCTCTAGATGTAGGTTGTGTAAAGCTAAGTTTATGTATATAAGAGTTTAGCTGAAAATAAAATTGGAAACATTTAATTAATGGTAGGAGTCAGTGATGAAAACTGCATGTATAAAATCATTGAGATTGGAGAGCCATTGGAATTAGTTCATTAGCATAAATGCCTTGGATGTGTAATGATACAAGATGAATTTGTAAAAGTGGATAGTGAGAAACAATACTACGAGTTGTGCATGAAAAAATATTAGTTAGAGGAGTAGGAATGAACAATATGCAAGAAACGTGTGCCTTTTGGAGCAATTTTTCATCTGTGAGTGATACAGTATTACAATTCCTAAAACAGGTGAATGAATGAATGAATGAATGAATGAATGAATGAGAGAGAGAGAGAGAGAGAGAGAGAGAGAGAGAGAGAGAGAGAGAGAGAGAGAGAGAGAGAGAGAGAGAGAGAGAGAGAGAGAGAGAGAGAGAGAGAGAGAGAGAGAGAGAGAGAGAGAGAGAGAGAGAGAGAGAGAGAGAGAGAGAGAGAGAGAGAGAGAGAGAGAGAGAGAGAGAGAGAGAGAGAGAGAGAGAGAGAGAGAGAGAGAGAGAGAGAGAGAGAGAGAGAGAGAGAGAGAGAGAGAGAGAGAGAGAGAGAGAGAGAGAGAGAGAGAGAGAGAGAGAGAGAGAGAGAGAGAGAGAGAGAGAGAGAGAGAGAGAGAGAGAGAGAGAGAGAGAGAGAGAGAGAGAGAGAGAGAGAGAGAGAGAGAGAGAGAGAGAGAGAGAGAGAGAGAGAGAGAGAGAGAGAGAGAGAGAGAGAGAGAGAGAGAGAGAGAGAGAGAGAGAGAGAGAGAGAGAGAGAGAGAGAGAGAGAGAGAGAGAGAGAGAGAGAGAGAGAGAGAGAGAGAGAGAGAGAGAGAGAGAGAGAGAGAGAGAGAGAGAGAGAGAGAGAGAGAGAGAGAGAGAGAGAGAGAATTTATACCTGAGAGAGAGAGAGAGAGAATTTATACCTGAGAGAGAGAGAGAGAGAATTTATACTGCACCTGTGTAAAGACTGACTGTATTTTCATACAGTATTTACACAGGGTGCAGTACTGTACTTCTGGTCCGAAAAAAGTTGAAACACTGCTGTGGATGTCTTAATGTGTGTGGAGGTACTTGGTTCCTGTGAGGCACTGCTCAGTATGCATGATATCAGGATAAATTATGTGCAATGATGAATTTGTTTACCTTTTTATCCTCCTCATTGACTATGTGAAGCAAGGTAGATGATGATGGTAGATAAAGTAGATTATAATGAGCTGAATCAGGTTTTAATGAAATGTGCTCACAATTAATGCTTTAGACATACAAAAATGCTAGAAATCAGGGGTGAAGGTATGTAATCATAACAGAAAAGCAAGAACAAGCTGAAGTTAATATGAGAATTAACTAAATTTAATAAAATTATTATTATTATGCAGTGCAGGCTCACTCACACAGACAGAAGAGAACAATGAGTTAATTTTAGTACTATAAATCCACAAATAATAGTGAATGAAAAGTTGGAGGGAAAGATAGAGCAATATAGGACCCACCAGCACCCCCCAATAATCGTTCCATGATGGATGTGGGTTCAACAAATAATTAAGAACTTAATAAAAATAATTAATAATTCATTGCGTCGGGGGAGGACGGGCAGCCTGTATGTGTTCATACATGTTTATATCGAGGAGCCCCCCCACAAGGTCGAATTACTAACCCGGCCCAGGATGCAACTGCACAACATGCTGACTAACTCCTGGATATTTATTTCCTGCTAGGGGCATTAGGTGATAATAAGTGCACCCAACCATTTCTGTTCTGCCCAGGATTCGAACCCGGAATTCTTAACTGTGGGTTGAGAACAAACCCAACTGTACTTCCGATCCTCAAACAATGAAGGCTAATTGAGTTTCTTGTATTACTCTATTAACTGGTTCCAATTCATTTATATTGCAAGGTAGTAAGATCAAGAGACAAGCATATGATGAATGTTGTAGCATTAAATGCACTGAAAAGTTATTTGATAACACAAAGAATTTTTTAAGCGTACTCCATTCCCCGACTTATACTGAATTTTGTAACTAGCTCATCAAGATTGTAACTTGCTTAGAAAAATGAATTGTGGGTTTCTAGATTCTACACACGTTACTCCCTGAGCCCATTATGTGCCTCTGTAACCCTTTCCATTACTGCCCACAAGATGGGTATGGGGTGCATAATAAATGACCTAAACTAACTAAACTATCTCCATTCCCCAGAACAGCTTTTGTATATGGCTCCACTCACACTGCATGTTCACTTGCTCATTAATTGCAACTTCTCTACTTCTACATTATTCCTTATGCTAAATCCAATTCATTCATTCTTTGGTTTTTATCTATGCTCTTATTTGTGCATTTCTACCAATCATGTGAATATCATTAACATTTCTCACTTTTACAAGTACAGTACTGTACACTATGCTTAACATTCTCAGTCTTTTCACCCAGTTTTGTTTCTCAGTTCAAATAGCAACTGCTTCTCTTTTATCTTTGAGGAAGATTCTACACACGTTACTCCCTAACTCTGGGATGGGACACTTGTGAAGGAGAAGTCACAGATAGATGCATGTTTCTGTTTGTCCAATTCATTATTGTAATATTTCAATCAAATGGGAGATAATGCAGCATGACCTCTATATATATACAGTACTGTAATTTCTATCATTCAGTTATGTTATATCTTTGGAAAATAAAATATTGAAAGCAAATCATAGCTATCATTACAAATGAATGGTGGGAAGGTTCTAGTGTATATTTTTGAAAGTTACTCTACCAATAATCACATGAAAATAAGGAAATAAGGAAAGAAAAAAATCCATACCCAAGTCCTCCCAAAAAGCCCAATGAGAGATCGGCCACACTTCTTGAAATAAGAAAACAGATCATGAATAACAAAAAGGGAAAAATACTGAAGCTATATATATACATATATGCCACATCATGTTAGTACACTACATTAAGGTGGTACATTATTAATCACTTATCTCATGCATAGAACTATTAAGTAAAATATGGACTAACTTAAAATATGACATTTAATGTAATTGAAAATGCAAAAAGGATCACATTAGGTGACCACACTCAACACACGAGTTAATTTATTTCTAATAAGCTTCAAATTACTCACCAGCTAACAATGGATTTGCAGCCGCGACAGAGTTTTCTCTCTTTATGTGTCGACTGTCTATTAATCCATTTGATATATTATTTTGCAAGGCATTCTGAAGAAGCGGCGTACTGGAACATCCGCCACCATTGGCCTCGGAGTCATTGAGCAAGCTGGCAAATGTTTGGCTGCCATTGTTGTGTTGTAGATTGTTACTGATGGAAGAGATGGGGGCACTGTTCATGAGCTGAGTGATGAGATGGTTGTGGTTGTGGTTGAGATTAGAGTGAGGAGACGACCGTAGGAGCGTGGTGAGGGTGCTGGTGCTAGACACAGTCTCCATGGCACTCGTGGACATTGGCTCCTCATCACTCTGAAGGTCAATAGGGGCTTGTTAATATGAAGCAATATTACAACATAACATTCAACGAACACATCTGTTCATAAAATAAAATAATAATGATAAATTTTAACTTTCCTACATATAATGCAGATACATTTATACTTTTAATGGCTAGGCTACTCATGTAAAGGATAATATCAAGAATTTGGGGGTATTATAAAGACACTGGAATGTATCACTGAATATAACTTGAAAATTCTAAAATCATAACCAACATTATAAGCAAATCTTGAGACTATTGTACAAGCCATGCAATCAGTACTATACCAATATGCATTGCAATATGTTCATCTTCACATACTTACATAATGCATTATTGCAAATAAAACTATATCTTAAAAAATTTTCAAATAAACTTAAATTTGATTCTTCTTCTTTGTTTTTTGTATGTACTGTATTACTTTGAGGCTAATACGTTCACATTACAGTATACAGATTAATATATTAAAAAGCTCAAAGTCGTCACAGCACAAATATGAGTCATTGTTTTCCACTTACACTTCCCATAGTCTCCAGTTCCTGCTTTATTTGTATGAGGTGAAGATCAGAGGGAGTCTTGGCGGAGTCTGTGGGGGTGGCGGGGATGAAGTCATCTCTACCGAACCGAACTTCCCGGCATCTCATCCTCTCGCCTCCCATGGGGTTACCAGACAAAAATGACTCGTCAACCTTGCAACAAAAAGTAGATTCATGTTAAAATTATTGATCATTATGTTATAATTAATATATTATACAGTATTTAAAATGATCACTGTAAAATTGATTAATTATCAAACAGTTATATTTTTTTTTTTTTTTTTGAGATATATACAAGAGTTGATACATTCTTGTACAGCCACTAGTACGCGTAGCGTTTCGGGCAGGTCCCTGGAATACGATCCCCTGCCGCGAAGAATCGTTTTTTCATCCAAGTACACATTTTACTGTTGCGTTAAACAGAGGCTACAGTTAAGGAATTGTGCCCAGTAAATCCTCCCCGGCCAGGATACGAACCCATGACATAGCGCTCGCGGAACGCCAGCCGAGTGTCTTACCACTACACCACGGAGACTATTTCTACATACAAGTATCTCTGTGTGTACAGTACTTGTATGAATGATTAAAACAGTTGTGGCCAAGAAGCTAAAGAACAATACCAGCAAACACTGGTGAGTACACACACAAACTATTACTATATTTGAATATTTGACAGTTGAGAGGCGGGACCAAAGAGCCAAAGCTCAACCCCTGCAAGTACAATTAGGTGAGTACGACTAGGTAAATACTCAGGGGGGCCTGGGGCTGAGTGGACAGCGTTCAGGACTCGTAATCCTAGGGACTGGGGATCGATCCCCGGCAATGGCGGAAACAAACGGCCAAAATTTCTTTCACTCTGATGCTCCTGTTACCTAGCAGCAAATAGGTACCTTTTGCTTCTACTTTTTACTTTGTATTTTTTTAACAGTTGACTGATTGACAGTTGAGAGGCGGGCCAAAAGAGCCAAAGTCAGCCCCCACAAGCACAACTAGATCTCTCCAAGCATTATGCATTATGCATCACCACACAGATGCATAATTGAAAGGACCCAGATTAGATTACCCGTGTCGGACAGAAACATTTGCGCATGTTTCCTTCCACATGATGCGTGTGTTAACCTAGCAGTAAATAAGTGCCCAGGATATATAGGGACGCACAGTTGGAGGGTATCCTTAGCAAGTTAACTTATTGGTCCTTGGGAGGACCTCAATTACCCTTAACAGCCTTCTTGTCCCCCCTACACTGGGAAACACTTTTTTTTTTAACCTACTGTTGCTACTAACCCTTAATGGTTCACCCAACATATCATTTAAGGTGTTTTATATTGTTAACCAATGTAATTATCTCGATAACCTGTCCGAAACACTATGCGTGTTAGTGGCTTTACTGAAACCCATTGATGATGTGACGACTTATAATGAATTTTGTAATTAGCTCATCAAGACTGTAACTTGTTTAGCTAAATGAATTGTGGGGTTCAGTCCCTGAGCCTATTATGTGCCTCTGTAACCCTCTCCACTACCGCCCACAGGATGGGTATGGGTGCATAATAAATGAACTAAACTAAAACTAACTAGTGGCTTTACAAGAACGTAATAATACCAATGATGTGTACTCTCACAACCCAGTGTACCTTCTTGTATATAAATAAATAAGATGAAGAAGAGATAGTCAGCAACCAAAATGTTTGAGAATAACAATGTCTCTCACCAGCTTGCAATGGAAAAATGCATAATTAAAATCAACGTAAAATATTTCAGCTCTTGCTATAATAGAGAAGGAAAAATTTCAGTATTCAAAGTAATAATTTTCGTCTAACAAATGTTGTTGATACAGATAATACTTAATCTATACTGTATATCCAGATTTTTTATCATCGTACAATATTTAAAGAGATAATCTTTGTATTTATAGCCTGTTCACTGTTTTCTTCAATACATCACATGATTATATACATAAAATATCCCATCTATGTAATTCCACAAAAAAAGGAATGTAAAATAGACAGATGTGAATATTAACACAGAAGTTACATGGATGACACAAACGAACAATGCTAACTCTGACCTCTGCAAATATATTATCGAGCTCAAAATTTGGGTCCGATATGCTTGTGAAGATCTCATCTTCTTCTGTGATCTCGCCGACCAGGCCCTTGAGATCAGCCTGCGAGAGCTCAGCCAGGTCACCACACTCGGGTGCTGACGCAGGGTTGGACGACGCCAGGCCTCCGATGACCCCCATCCCCATGGGCGTCATCTGGTCGTTCATGTTTCCTCCTGGAGTGGCGCTGTTGCCTGTTGTACTTCCTCCTCCCGGGTCCTGCAACAGTGATCAACACATCCTGAGTAAAGGACATATATACAGCCGACTCAGTATCCACTCACTCACTCACTCACTCACTCACTCACTCTGGAAACTATTCAGCCTTTACTGAAACTGATGATAGGTTAATGTATGTTAAATTATAATTTATCAATATTCTTTAATTATTCCAGTGTCTAAATTCCACATGAAGGCCTATTGTAGGGCTGGTCACCTCTGGGGAAACTACAAACCTGTTGGCCTACTGTCCTTGTGCATATAAGTAATTAGTTTCTATATGCTTCATAAAAAAAATCCTCTCGTGGATGTCAACTAGTAAACTCACACTTAACATTGAAAAGATCCACTAATTTGGAAGCAAATTATCAAAACAAATTCACCTTCAGATAGACAATATCAACCATACTAGTGAAAATAAAGAAAAGTTACTTGGCCTATATATAATAGTACAAGAGTACAAGTACTTAGCCTAGTACAAGGGACTACTACTTCACTACTTACATACAACACATTGCTAAAAATAAAAAATTCTCTACAACTGTTGGTATACTCTCTAAAATCATACATATTATGTTCTCAACTCTACTCTTCTTGCAAATATACTTCGCGCTAATCTACCCCTATCTTACATGTTGGATCAGTGCATGGGGGTTCAATAACAACAAACTACCTCAAGCCCAACATCGCCCAGCAAAAATCTGCTAACTTAACTTTAACAAACTCTTTCTTCAAACAACACACACAGCCCATATATACTTAAATCACTAAACATGCTAAACATTCACTCACTCCACACATTTTCTTGTGTGGAATATGATTCCCGATTCCACACATTCTAATCCTGATTTGAATCTCTTCTTTGAAAGAATTTTCTGTTTGTAACTCATTTTCTATGTATGTACATAGTATGTATGTACACCTGAATAAACATTATTATTATTATTATTATTATCTGTAACAAAACCCATCAGCACCACACCAGAAAGTTATCTTTGATATTCCTAGAGCCAGATTAAACTTGTGCAAACACTCCGTGTAAATAAAAGGACATAGTGTATGGAACTCACGCTATAATTAATTATATAAAAAAAAATCTCCAACCTGTACTCTATTCGAAAGTAAAACCAAATAGTACCTAATTTCATCCTCATAGTTCCCATTTTGTGTTATCCACTCATCCAATTTTATACTTAAGACATGCAACTTCACCAGTATAATCTATTCTATCAACTCAAATTCTGTTACACTGTACCTATCATTACTTTTGATGCTTAGCTTAAGTAGCTGCCCGAAGAGCTATGCTTGTTAGTGGCTTTGTAAGCCACTAACAAGCTTAGTGGCTTACACTAACACTAACACTAACAACCCCAATATATCAAACCCCCAAACTCCTTGTATATCAATAATTCAATAAATATCTCTAATCATTGTGGTTATTAAAATTTTTGGACAATAAAGTAACATCTGAGCTCAAGTGGATTGATAAATTATAAATCCCCTTCTATCCTGAGCCCAACCAGGTATCAACCAGCCCATTATGTGCCTTTGTAACCCTTTCCACTACCGCCTACAGCATGGGTATGGGGCGCATAATAAATGAACTCAACTAACTTCGAATATATTGTTGTTGTTGTTCTTGTTGGTATGAATGGCAGCGACGGGACGTATGTGCCAATCTACCTATCTATCTATCTATCAACAATTATTATACAACAGTTGACTGCACGTGTAGCAAATATCTGTTATCGTTGATTAGAATAATTCGGAAAGTTTTTATCTATAAATTAAAAACAATTATTAACAATGTGAATGTTTCAATTGATTTACATTATATTTTCTCGCAGTTATAATAATAATAAATAACACCGAAGATTAAATAACATAATGAGTTACTGAGCTCAGTTCAGCCTCTAGGATATATATATATATATATATATATATATATATATATATATATATATATATATATATATATATATATATATATATACCTAGTATACTATGCAGGGCCCGATTTGCCTAATAAGCCAAGTTTTCCTGAATTAATATATTTTCTCTAAGTTTTTTCTTATGAAATGATAAAGCTACCCATTTCATTATGTATGAGGTCAATATTTTTTTATAGTTGAAATTAACGTAGATATATGACCGAACCTATACCTATAACCTAACCTATCTCTATAGGTTAGGTTAGGTTAGGTAGCCGAAAAAGTTAGGTTAGGTTAGGTAGGTTAGGTATTAATTCATGAAAACTTGGCTTATTAGGCAAATCGGGCCTTGCATAGTAGGCATAGAAGTGAGTTCTGGCTACTAAGTACGACATATTTATATATATATATATATAATATATATATATATATATATATATATAACTGAAAACTCATTCGAACCCATTCCCAGAAGCAACGCATTGGTATGTACAAGACGCCTTAATCCACTTGACCATCACGACCGGACATAATGAGGTGATAGCCGAGGCTATTTGAACCACCCCACCGCCGGCACTCGGATAGTTATCTTGGGCATAGCATTTTACCAAATCACCTCATTCTTTGGGGCAACACGTGAGGAACACAAATGCGAACAAGCCTGAATGGTCCCCAGGACATATGCAACTGAAAACTCACACCCCAGAAGTGACTCGAACCCATACTCCCAGAAGCAACGCATCTGGTATGTACAAGACGCCTTAATCCACTTGACCATCACGACCGGACATAATGAGGTGATAGCCGAGGCTATTTGAACCACCCCACCGCCGGCACTCGGATAGTTATCTTGGGCATAGCATTTTACCAAATCACCTCATTCTTTGGGCAACACGTGAGGAACACAAATGCGAACAAGCCTGAATGGTCCCCAGGACATATGCAACTGAAAACTCACACCCCAGAAGTGACTCGAACCCATACTCCCAGAAGCAACGCATCTGGTATGTACAAGACGCCTTAATCCACTTGACCATCACGACCGGACATAATGAGGTGATAGCCGAGGCTATTTGAACCACCCCACCGCCGGCACTCGGATAGTTATCTTGGGCATAGCATTTTACCAAATCACCCCATTCTTTGGGGCAACACGTGAGGAACACAAATGCGAACAAGCCTGAATGGTCCCCAGGACATATGCAACTGAAAACTCACACCCCAGAAGTGACTCGAACCCATACTCCCAGAAGCAACGCATCTGGTATGTACAAGACGCCTTAATCCACTTGACCATTATGTCCGGTCGTGATGGTCAAGTGGATTAAGGCGTCTTGTACATACCAGATGCGTTGCTTCTGGGAGTATGGGTTCGAGTCACTTCTGGGGTGTGAGTTTTCAGTTGCATATGTCCTGGGGACATATGGTCAAGTGGATTAAGGCGTCTTGTACATACCAGATGCGTTGCTTCTGGGAGTATGGGTTCGAGTCACTTCTGGGGTGTGAGTTTTCAGTTGCATATGTCCTGGGGACCATTCAGGCTTGTTCGCATTTGTGTTCCTCACGTGTTGCCCCAAAGAATGAGGTGATTTGGTAAAATGCTATGCCCAAGATAACTATCCGAGTGCCGGCGGTGGGGTGGTTCAAATAGCCTCGGCTATCACCTCATTATGTCCGGTCGTGATGGTCAAGTGGATTAAGGCGTCTTGTACATACCAGATGCGTTGCTTCTGGGAGTATGGGTTCGAGTCACTTCTGGGGTGTGAGTTTTCAGTTGCATATGTCCTGGGGACCATTCAGGCTTAAGCTTGATTTTAATCAAACATTTAAATTTATTATTATAAAAATACCAAAAAACTTTGTATACTATAAGCCACGAAATGTAGTTTTAAATTTAAATTTTTATTATAAAAATACCAAAAAACTTTGTATACTATAAGCCACGATGTAGTTAAATTCCGTGAGTTCCCGCTAGCTAACAGAGAACGTATCTCTAAGTGTTTAAGAAAACACGATAACCTAAAGAGATACTAAACAAAACCTACCAATAGCCGTCTGTAAGGCAACAGAAAACGATCTTTCAATAGTTACCCATCTAAAAAGAGAAAACGGACAAAGAAAAAACCTTCAGAGAAAACGGATTTTTGTTAGTGTAATAGGGATAACAAAACTAACACTATTATAATGTAGTTTACCCGTTATAGTTTCCCACTAATCATAACCTCGATCATAACCGAAAATAGCTACTACATTTATAACCTAAGGTATGGAATATTCCTAGTTATATATTTTGTAGAAATGACTATACATAAATGTAAAAATTATCTCTAAAAATTATATGATCACAACCATTGTCAATGACAAGATCGAAATAGCTATATGATATCAGCAACAGATATACAGTTTGTCAAACATGTCTCCCCTACGGATAATCAAAGATGTTACACATTGCGCACACACACACACACACACACACACACACACACACACACACACACACACACACACACACACACACACACACACACACACACACACACACACAAAAAGGTGCAGATATACAGTAAGGCGACCAAACACTAACCAAACAAGAGAGGTCGACCATTTTGCCATCATTGTCGGGGCACCAGAGGAGATCGTCGTCGATAAAGGGCATGTTGGTGGGTGGTGTCCCTCCGTCCGGCGCCGGCGGAGTGGCCTCTCAGGCCTCCACAACCACCTCCGTACACCCAGTTAGTCTGCAACGAGGTCACACCTGGAGGTCACTCCCTGGCCCGGATACAACTGCCTGGGTCTTATATTTATCGTGGCAATTTCTACTATTATTGATTACCGGTTCACTATAGCCCGTGCTACATGGCCATTTCTTTCTGAGTAGCTAAATCAATAACAACAAAACATATTATTGAACAAATCCACAAGGGCCGTGACGAGGATTCGAACCTGCGTCCAGGAGCATCCCATGCAGACACTGCCGTAATCGACTGAGCTACGACAGGGTAAAAAGAGTTGAAACCGAAGTTCTACTGAACTTAAATAGTATGTTAAAAACATACTATTATTGAGCTAAATATCAATTATTATTATCTTCATCATCATCAATATAATTTTAGCTTTTACTATTCAACATATTATTGAAGTTATTAAAACTACTATCAATAGTATAATTATCATTATAATTGTTATTAATTCCATTATTATTATTATTCTCGAGGTTATTAATAGTATAATACAGTACTGATACTATACACTATAAAACAATTTTTGATCAATATTTCAACTGTATTATCTAGGCTATTATTTTACAACGTATAATTTGACTTTAATTGAAAATTTCCAAAAATAAAATTGACAAAATTGTAATTTTATATTAATTTTTATAGTGTATTATCATGTCAATTATTGTGTGATGTATTATTTGGCTTTTAGTAACAAAAATTAAATACACAAAAATTTTCTAATAAATATATATTTTTCTTTTTACAAAATCTCAAGGGCAGAATTTATTGCCATGGGTTGCTATGTATATATTATTTATATCATTTCAAACGTAATTTGTTCAATTATGAATTAATTACAAACTAAATGAAAACAAAACTAAGACAATTCTTAAATACTGAAACCTAAACTAAACTGGCAAATACTGTGCTTAATTTATTTATTTATTAACAGCATTTACGTAGATTAATAATACACAAATTTTACTGACAAAAATAAAAATATAAGAGTTTTGTCATATTATGGTATAAAAGACAATACATTTTATTCTACTGTACAGAGATATTCTAAAATTATACCTTAAATGAATAAACAGATATATTATTCATAATATTTACACTCAACAATAAAAAAACAAATAAACTTCAATCTACAATCACCGTGAGCCTACTATAATGACTTGGATTAGAGAATTAATTTTTGTGTTTTTTGTAATGGTAAATCCTCCGCCCACCGCCGGGACCTTTGTGGCTTACCTGGAAAATGTGAGCGAGGTCGATACTGTATTGCCAGCATGCATACACTCGGCCCGCACGCCCTCACTCTGAAAAAACACAAGACCTTGTTAATGCAAAGTTTATACAAGAAAACAGTAAATGCAAAGTTTATACAATAAAACGGCATGTTGTTGATTTTGGGTCCGTTAGCACACGTGGCGGATCTGTCCTGGCGTTCCAGTGTTGGGGGAAAGCGGGAAACCTTACTGCTAATGGACGCATGGCGCCGGAAAACTACTGTGCCTTGCAGCAGATAAATACTTTGTTGGATAGATGTTTCAACCCGTTCTCTTGAGTCGTTACGCAAAAAAAAACATGATGTATTATACGAGCGGGTCAACTGGAAAACTACCCAGAGACCTCAGAGAATAAGTTGTCACACGCATCCTGTGAACTAAGGGTAGTCAAACACAGCTGAAGCCTATCGACAAAATTGTGATAGCTCCTCCAGAACTCAAGCCCAGTCAGGCAAAAACTCAACGTTTTCCAGTGGCCGTCAGGAGAGAAAGAGCTAGACCCTGAGGGCACACCAAGAGCCCAGTGAGATCCGCCCACTTACAGCACCTCTCGGTGAAGTCGACACCGGACACCGTCTCTCTACCCGAAGGCACAACTGGAAAACGGCGTCATTTCAATCTGGGCCGTTGAGGAGTTATTCATATCGAGACCCAGTGGTCAAAATCATGTCACGTGTTCCGTTGGGCACCTTATCAGAACAAATGCCCAGGCGTCTGCTCGCTTTTAAGGTTGAACCAGGATCAAAAGTGTTTTACATAAAGTCACCAATAATGAAAACTGCACCAAAAATATATATTTAAATGCCAGATACGTGCTTAGCTAACCAAGATTCTAGAATTGTGCAGCCCAATTGTATATTTTTATTTGTGCATTCTTATTATTCTCTACTTTTCAAGAAGTAAAATGTGACAGAGACCTGCTTAATTGGTATATTTTAATCTTAATGGATGTGTACGTGTTTGCTCGAGTCAAACTGACAGGCATTGAAGCCTCTCTTTAGTCCCTTTGGCTTCCTTTAAATTTATTCTTATTGTTTTATACAATTTCAACCCAAAACCTGTGCCGCAGAAAATGACATTGAAAATAAATAGAAAGAAGGAAAGCTGTGCCACATCAAAGGGTATCAAAGATGGAGTGGCATCGGAGTCTGTGCTTCAGAGACAACTTTGCCACATAGTCATATCAAATTAATCATAATTAAACAGTCATATAAAATAGTATCAAGTATGGCGTCAATAACTATTATTTAATGACAAATACACAATTAGTATAACAAAACGATACACCGTATAAAACAGCCAAACTAGTAGTGTCTACTCGATTACCCAATATATATACAGTTTTTCTTTCGTATTTCACAACTATTTACCCAGATTTTTCTACGTCTCAGATTTTTTCCCACGACATTTTTCTTATTAATATAATGTTAATTACATCTGGTATCAATTACATTTTGTATAAAATTATTGTAGTGTAAATATGTGGTATCAACGACATTAAATTCCTCACGGAGACCATATGCATGTGAGGCTATTGTCTGGTATTATAGATTATTCTGCTTAGTGTTTAGTGTTACTAGTTCTATTGTATTGCATTGATCGCAAAGTGTTTCCTAATATATGTTGTTGATTCATACAAATTTGTTGCTGGTCTGCAATTCAATGTTCTTGTCCATACCAAGAATCTTATCCAGCGTTCGCAAAATTTAATTAATAACGTCGAGCCCCAATCTGGTGTTGTCACGCCGCGCGGAAGCCTCATGTGATGTCATTGAATGCAAACACGAGGCTACCCATCCAGCTGCACATCCTAACACAGTCACATGCACAATGGCGACCCCGGTGTCCCTGACCTTGATGTGGTTGACCTGGTTTCTTGTCACGAGCTGCCAGTTAAAGAGATGCGGGAGGTCACTTTCATGGTTTCTGAAGTGTCTCTTAAGCTTATACAAAACCGGTATTATTCAGAGGCTGGGGGTTAGGTGATCCTGCTCTATTTGGCCAACACAGTCCCCCTCCCCTTACCCGCAGATACACACGACTGACAAGATTCCCATGAAAGTGTAATAGGTTAATAAATAAGTCATGTTCTTGAGGCACGGTAGATCATGGTTTATGAACATGATATAAGCAGTACACAGGAAACACTGGACTGTCAGAACTTTTCTGGCAAAGGGGTAATTAACATGACATGAATTAGAGGGAGAGAGATACTACAGAAACGAAAAAGATAAATATATTGAAAAGTAAATATCACCAGAACAATGCTCACACATTTTAACAATTCCACATCGCCGTCAGCCCGGAATTCAACTACATATTTACCGAAGAAAATACTCGGAGCGCAATCAAATCTAAAGCAAAATTTACCGGATTTTTTTCGTGTCTAACATTTTCAGGTAAAGGTTGAGCTAACTGATTAGTGATCTGCAATACGATGCAACATTCAGATGAGAAAAACAAACGGCCGTGATTTAAAATCCAGATGACGTGTTGAGCGAGATCACCCGCTCAGGTATGCTGTTTATGTTGTTGTATGTTGCTATGTTTCTGCTCATGTTGTATGTTGCTATGTTTCAGCCCATGTTGTATGTTGCTATGTTTCAGCCCATGTTGTATGTTGCTATGTTTCAGCCCATGTTGTATGTTGCTATGTTTCAGCCCATGTTGTATGTTGCTATGTTTCAGCCCATGTTGTATGTTGCTATGTTTCAGCCCATGTTGTATGTTGCTATGTTTCAGCCCATGTTGTATGTTGCTATGTTTCAGCCCATGTTGTATGTTGCTATGTTTCAGCCCATGTTGTATGTTGCTATGTTTCTCGCTCATGTTGTATGTTGATATGTTTCTCGCTCATGTTGTATGTTGATATGTTTCTCGCTCATGTTGTATGTTGCTATGTTTCAGCCCATGTTGTATGTTGCTATGTTTCAGCCCATGTTGTATGTTGCTATGTTTCAGCCCATGTTGTATGTTGCTATGTTTCTCGCTCATGTTGTATGTTGCTATGTTTCTCGCTCATGTTGTATGTTGATATGTTTCTCGCTCATGTTGTATGTTGATATGTTTCTGCTCATGTTGTATGTTGCTATGTTTCTCGCTCATGTTGTATGTCGCTATGTTTCTCGCTCATGTTGTATGTTGCTATGTTTCAGCCCATGTTGTATGTTGCTATGTTTCAGCCCATGTTGTATGTTGCTATGTTTCAGCCCATGTTGTATGTTGCTATGTTTCTCGCTCATGTTGTATGTTGATATGTTTCTCGCTCATGTTGTATGTTGATATGTTTCTCGCTCATGTTGTATGTTGCTATGTTTCTGCTCATGTTGTATGTTGCTATGTTTCTGCTCATGTTGTATGTTGCTATGTTTCAGCCCATGTTCTATGTTGCTATGTTTCAGCCCATGTTGTATGTTGCTATGTTTCAGCCCATGTTGTATGTTGCTATGTTTCAGCCCATGTTGTATGTTGCTATGTTTCAGCCCATGTTGTATGTTGCTATGTTTCTCGCTCATGTTGTATGTCGCTATGTTTCTCGCTCATGTTGTATGTTGATATGTTTCTCGCTCATGTTGTATGTTGATATGTTTCTCGCTCATGTTGTATGTCGCTATGTTTCTGCTCATGTTGTATGTCGCTATGTTTCTGCTCATGTTGTATGTCGCTATGTTTCTGCTCATGTTGTATGTCGCTATGTTTCTGCTCATGTTGTATGTCGCTATGTTTCTGCTCATGTTGTATGTTGCTATGTTTCTGCTCATGTTGTATGTTGCTATGTTTTGCTCATGTGTATGTCGCTATGTTTCTGCTCATGTTGTATGTCGCTATGTTCCAGCCCATGTTGTATGTTGCTATGTTTCTGCTCATGTTGTATGTCGCTATGTTTCTGCTCATGTTGTTTTCTTTTTTCTCATGTTTGCGTTTATGCTTGGGTTGTGTTTACGTTGTTCTTGTCGTGTTTATGTTGTCATGTTTGTGTTCATGTTACGTTTGTTCTGTTGTTATGAGTGTTCATGTTCTCATGGTTATATCTACGTTTTTTGTTATTGTCTGTATTTATATGTCTATGTTTATGGTGCAATGTTTATGTATATTTTGTGTCTGGTCTGTATGTTGTATTGGTTCTGGATATGTTGTTTTATGTGTGTGCGCAACATTAGTAAACATGATAATCATATTCATGAGCAACATGGCTCCGAGCTAACCGGAGGAAACACTACCACATGCAACACAGTTCTAGCCAACATGGAGCAACTTATCAACACCGGACAACAGGAGGGTTAGGGGGAGACATGATCACTACCTACAAAATTCTCATAGGAATTGACAAGTTAGATAAAGATAAACAGTTTAGCACGGGTGGTACGCGAACAAGGGGACACGGGTGGAAACTGAGTACCCAAGAGCTACAGGGACGTTAGAAAGAACTTTTTTCAGTGTCAGAGTAGTTAAGAGATGGAATGCATTAGGAAGTGATGTGGTGGAGGCTGACTCTATACACAGTTTCAAATGTAGATATGATAGAGCCCAGTAGGCTCCGGAATCTGTACACCAGTTGATTGACAGTTGAGAGGCGGGACTAGGCGAGTACACACACACACACACACACACACACACACACACACACACACACACACACACACACACACACACACACACACACACACACACAGAGGACACAAACAAACATTACGTCAGTGGTTACAAAGTTTTTAACGACATCCTTCTTGATCACTCTGGTAGTTAGACTTAATTATCGCTAATTATTCTCACGCACGACTCTCCCTCGCTGACACTCTCCCTCGCTGACACTCTCCCTCGCTGACACTCTCCCTCGCTGACACTCTCCCTCGCTGACACTCTCCCTCGCTGACACTCTCCATATACGGCCAGGCTTCCAACGGTTTCACTTTGGCACCAACGGTTTCACTTTGGCACCAACGGTTTCACTTTGGCACCAACGGTTTCACCCTGGCACCAACGGTTTCACTTTGGCACCAACGGTTTCACTTTGACACCAACGGTTTCACTCTGGCACCAACGGTTTCACCCTGGCACCAACGGTTTCACCTTGGCACCAACGGTTTCACTTTGGCACCAACGGTTTCACTTTGGCACCAACGGTTTCACTTTGGCACCAACGGTTTCACTTTGGCACCAACGGTTTCACTCTGGCACCAACGGTTTCACTCTGGCACCAACGGTTTCACCCTGGCACCAACGGTTTCACTTTGGCACCAACGGTTTCACTTTGATACCAACGGTCTCATTTTGACACCAACGGTCTCATTTTGACACCAACGGTTTCATTTTGACACCAACGGTTTCATTTTGACACCAACGGTTTCACTTTGACACCAACGGTTTCACTTTGGCACCAACGGTTTCACTTTGGCACCAACGGTTTCACTTTGGCACCAACGGTTTCACTTTGGCACCAACGGTTTCACTTTGACACCAACGGTTTCACTTTGGCACCAACGGTTTCACTTTGGCACCAACGGTTTCACTTTGGCACCAACGGTTTCACTTTGGCACCAACGGTTTCACCCTGGCACCAACGGTTTCACCCTGGCACCAACGGTTTCACCCTGGCACCAACGGTTTCACCCTGGCACCAACGGTTTCACTTTGGCACCAACGGTTTCACTTTGACACCAACGGTTTCACTTTGACACCAACGGTTTCACTTTGGCACCAACGGTTTCACTTTGGCACCAACGGTTTCACTTTGGCACCAACGGTTTCACTTTGGCACCAACGATTTCACTTTGATATCATCGGTTTCACTTTGACACCAACGGTTTCACTTTGACACCAACGGTTTCACTTTGACACCAAAGGTTTCACTTTGACACCAACGGTTTCACTTTGACACCAACGGTTTCACTTTGACACCAACGGTTTCACTTTGACACCAACGGTTTCACTTTGACTCCAACGGTTTCACTTTGACACCAACGGTTTCACTTTGACACCAACGGTTTCACTTTGGCACCAACGGTTTCACTCTGGCACCAACGGTTTCACTTTGGCACCAACGATTTCACTTTGATATCATCGGTTTCACTTTGACACCAACGGTTTCACTTTGACACCAACGGTTCACTTTGACACCAAAGGTTTCACTTTGACACCAACGGTTTCACTTTGACACCAACGGTTTCACTTTGACACCAACGGTTTCACTTTGACACCAACGTTTTCACTTTGACTCCAACGGTTTCACTTTGACACCAACGGTTTCACTTTGGCACCAACGGTTTCACTTTGGCACCAACGGTTTCACTTTGGCACCAACGATTTCACTTTGGCACCAACGATTTCACTTTGACACCAACGGTTTCACTTTGACACCAACGGTTTCACTTTGACACCAAAGGTTTCACTTTGACACCAACGGTTTCACTTTGACACCAACGGTTTCACTTTGACACCAACGGTTTCACTTTGACACCAACGGTTTCACTTTGACTCCAACGGTTTCACTTTGACACCAACGGTTTCACTTTGACACCAACGGTTTCACTTTGGCACCAACGGTTTCACTCTGGCACCAACGGTTTCACTCTGGCACCAACGGTTTCACTCTGGCACCAACGGTTTCACTCTGGCACCAACAGTCTCACTTTGGCACCAACGGTTTCACTTTGATATCAACGGTTTCACTTTGACACCAACAGTTTCACTTTGACACCAACGGTTTCACTCTGGCACCAACGGTTTCACTCTGGCACCAACGGTTTCACTCTGGCACCAACGGTTTCACTCTGGCACCAACAGTCTCACTTTGGCACCAACGGTTTCACTTTGATATCAACGGTTTCACTTTGACACCAACAGTTTCACTTTGACACCAACGGTTTCACTCTGGCACCAACGGTTTCACTCTGGCACCAACGGTTTCACTCTGGCACCAACGGTTTCACTTTGGCACCAACGGTTTCACTTTGACACCAACAGTTTCACTTTGACACCAACGGTTTCACTCTGACACCAACGGTTTCACTCTGACACAAATCCCAACGGTTTCACTCTGACACAAATCATATATAATTTCTGTCCAGAAACTACAACGTATAAAGACGAGGCTTCACCTTCGTGCTGAGGCGTCACGTTATCCGAGGATACACTTTAAGATATCATTTTTGGTTTTGTCTTAAACGTTGCATAAGAAAATCAGAATTATGCTACGAGCCTGCAATCTGTCTTACCACTACAAGCACCATAAAATTCGAAATTTGGTAATATTGAGGCTTGCCGGGCAACAACGGCTAGGCTAGGCTGCCTAGCCGTTGCTATGTGTAGCTGTGATATGTTGGTATGTTGGTATGTTTCATAAACTCCTTCGTTCTATGTCATATCCGGGGGTCTTTAGACTTGACCTGGAACATAGCCTGGCTGAAGCTGTCATTAGTTTCCCCCCTCTCTGTTCTAGTTATGGTATCAACAGCTCTGTTAAACGCTATATGGCAATATTTTATATGGGAACAAGATGTAGAATTTAGTTTGGCATCAACGACATAAGTTTGGCTCTTTCTCCCTTACTCTCTTTCTCCCTTTCCCTCTTTCTCCCTTTCCCTCTTTCTCCCTCCCTCTCTCTCTCTCTCTCTCTCTCTCTCTCTCTCTCTCTCTCTCTCTCTCTCTCTCTCTCTCTCTTGACCTTCCTGACTCGCTCTGACAACCGGAAGAGGGAAGGCACGGTCCTCTTTAAGCGACTGAGTGGATAATCCAACTTCCTGGTACTATGGCGCTCGCACGAGGCACTGTTCCCTCACCTCTCATTACTGGGGACACGGCTGACCTTGGACTTACCCAACATTCAGGATATCAAGTCTGAAGGAGCAGGGATAGGTTCCGTGGTTCTATCAGCTTTATCCTGTTCCTTTCCTCCTCCTCCTGGATAGAAGCGCCCTTTAACTCTCCGTACCTCCATAACAAGAAGAGTGCCCTCTATCCTTTAGGATAAGGGCACCCTCGGCTGATCTCTCCCATGGTATAATATAATATACCATCTCTCCCATGGTATAAACTAAAGAACAGGTGTGTAGGATGAAGAATGTAATATTCTGAATTCTCATTCTTTATCGTATTTATTATGTCGTGGTGGTGGCCGTGACAGCCTCCCGGAGAGTCCCTGTCCTAGGTACACTACACCGAGGTGTAGTAATGGGGAAAAGGGGAAAATGGGGGTTAAGTCTGCAGTGTTTACTATGGCGTGTGAGGGCCAGGGAGGGCCAGGGTGGACCAGGGTGGACCAGGGAGGGCCAGGGTGGACTAGGGAGGGCCAGGGTGGGCCAGTGAGGGTCAGGGAGGGCCAGGGGTGGGCCAGGGAGGAAGGGGCAGGTGTCCAGGTCTCGGTTCGACCCCTCTCCTTTAATAATGCCGCCAACGACCCTCTCCTTGTCGCATGTGTTGCTCTCTCTCTCTCTCTCTCTCTCTCTCTCTCTCTCTCTCTCTCTCTCTCTCTCTCTCTCTCTCTCTCTCTCTCTCTCTCTCTCTCTCTCTCTCTCTCTCTCCTTCGTTGTGTCTTTATTCCCTGTTTGCAATAGAGCTAAGCACATATTCCTGTTTATACAACAAGTGTTTAGCTCGCTGCTTGTAGTACTGAAATCTCGATGTTTACGTCACATTGCCACCTAATAGGTCATGTTTGCAACATCAGGAACTTGCAATTTCTTGGTCACAATATTTATGGCTGACTGTTTTATATACAAAACACCCACATCCCCTACTTCACATCCTCTGTAGACTGTGGTTGTAACTAACACACGACCATTCTATGCCCGTAACTCAACCCATCCTCCAAATTGACAGTACGTTTTAATACTAAGTGTAATAAGTACATTTCCTGACTGGCATACATAGTGCATAATTGCACTTATGGGGGCTGTTACATTTACCTCCCCGTTTTGGGAGGACGGGCTGCATATATACATGTTCCGTCCTCCATAAACATTCACTATGTAGTTAAGACACCTCATGTTCGCTGAACAACACAGCAAATACCATTATATATATATATATATATATATATATATATAGATAATATATATATATTATATATATATATATATATATATATATATTTATATATATATATATATATATATATCCGGAACTCTTCCTGTTTGGTAGGTTCTCCCCCCCCCCCCGTGCGTTATGTCACGATAGTCCATGTGGGTCACACCCCACACCCCCCCCCCCCCGCCCCCCTCTCCAGGTAAAGGCACCAACACAAACTGTTTCTCATCGCCTCGGTCACACCTCCCCCCCCCCCTCACCCCCTCCCCCCCCCCCCCCCCCACACAAAAGTATCACAACAACATGGAAATTTTCAACACTGGACAAAAATCCACAAGACACTTGGATCATATTGTCTGTATCAGATGTTTCCTCTGACCGGGGAACACGTTACTGAAATATCACGAATAATAAACAGCAGTTCCGTTCCCAATAAATCTGAGTTCACATGCTGCGGCGTTCACAAAACCCGGTTTGAGGGAGGAGAGTTCGGTGATCACTTAGGGTTAACATCTTCACCGAGACTAATGTATACACGCACCTTCGGCCGGTGAAGAGAGCGAGTGTGCGGTGCGTGTGGTGGAAAGGGAGAGAGAGAGAGAGAGGGGAAGGAGAGAGAGAGAGAGATAGAGAGAGAGAAAGAGAAGAGGGGAGGTGCGCCTCCAGCGAGGGTCGACAGGTTAGTGCGGGCTGTCTAGCCTGCCCACCAGCGCGCCACCTCAGGTGAACTACCTACTATCCTTTAAAGGAACTATCCTTTATTTTCTCCATTCCTCACTACTTCTCCCGAGACCTGGGACACGACGCGGGTGTGTGTGTCCAGGCCCCTGGGGAGGGCGTGCTGGCCGACGTGGAGGTCGCCACAAGCCCCCAGGAGCGGCCTGAGGCAGGTGCTCCACACACCACAACACCCAAGACACTAACGTGTAAATACGTCAGACAGAAACCCGCGGAGATCCTGTTAGTGAAGCGGATTAGCCGACAGAAACGCGACTCGTGGTCCGCTCGGATCCCACAGTGCGGCATGGATCCCACGGCGGCACACGGGTCCCACAATGTCCTCTTTTTATCCCAGAGTAACTGGCGAGTCCCTGAGTACTTCGTGGGTCCCAGAGTACCTGGTGAGTCCCTGAGTACTTCGTGGGTCCCAGAGTACCTGGTGAGTCCCTGAGGG